ACCTGGAGCACTGGGACCACTGCTCAAGGACTTGTGAGAGCTTAGCTTAGCAAGGTCCATGCCCATGCCTGAGCTGAGCTGTGTGCCACATGCATTACATGTTCAGAGCGATGAGAACTGAGAGATACCAGCTTGCCCATGCTGTGTGTTTGCTTATCACCCACAAACCCCCCCCCACAACACTTCAGTGAGTTCCTAATATTCATCCACTATAACAGGAGATTTTCATGGTGTAATGCCACCTCCTCTAGTGTGAAAACCTATGCAAGAATTCATTTTGGTTTCCTCCTAAAACCTCATCTTCCTCAGCTACTCCACACGCGTCTATTACTTAGCAGCTGCAGAATTTGTGGGGCCAGCAACCTACTGAATGATCTCCCAGCGCCTAATGCTTTTGAGAGCTGAGCAATTCACTCCCATTTTAAGCAACTGTGTTGTGATTCACCTTTGACAATGCTCAGGAATGACAGTGATTTTTTTTTTTTTTTTTTTGTTATTACTTGACCTAAGTCACTAATTTCACTTTTAAAAAACCCAACATATTTGTATGTTCATTAGAGTCAAAGAGCTGAAATCCTAACTGGAAATTTATGGTCTTACCTAATATTATCTAACATAAAAAGCTACTCTGTGAACTTCGTGAGGGATTCAATTTTACAAATAGAAAATATGGGGATTGAAACAATTTGTGCTCACATAACAGATGGAAGTTATTATGAACTCTCGGAATTAACACACATTGTTTTGACTTTGGAATGTAACAGCAAAGCAAGTTTCTCCAAATAAATGCTCAACCAAGCCAGCACTGAACTGCTTCTAATTCCAGCTGAATTCTCCTGAGTGCAAGATGTGGTTTTCATTGTTATTATCCTGCTGTTTTACAAAACAGTACCACTTTATCTCTAGAAGAGTTCTGATTTCAATAATTTTACTTAATATCAACCCAGTCTCACTTCTTCCCCACTCACATTTCTCCTTGCCGCCGCAACTCCAGGTGATTGTGAAAGGAAAAAAAAAAAGAAGGTATAAAAATCTGTGAAACCAGGGAAGCTTATACAAATCCTTTCAAGTATTTCTTTAAGCTGACACAAGTTTTTCTGGGCTCTTTGTTTCTCACCACAATCATCAAGACTTGCACGAATGATTCGAGTAAGGTGATGGAGACCCAAGCTCTTTTCTTAATGCTCCAGTAGAGTCAGCACCATTCCTCCTAGACACTTCCAATTCCCCCACAGCACCCAGAGGGAATTAAGCAACCGATCCACATTTATTCACAACAGAATATTTCACAGGATTGGTTCTGTGAATTAAGGTCAACACCTTTGGGCCTTAAAAGGATTCCCTCACAGGTTACAACAGTCTAGAGATAAGAAAGAGGCAGCTGCTCATTCTCCATCCAAACTTAATTATTTTCACACATTCACATCAACTAAGTATATCTGAAGCTTCTCCTGAAGCAGCCTTAAGATCTTCTGAAAGCTACTTAAATTCAACAGTTCCAGCCTCCAAAGGAACACACAAAGGATTCAAACAATCTCAAGTTTTTACAGCAAGTCAGCCATGAGTACAGAAGTTTTGTGATGTATTTCTGCGTGTTATCTACCTGTTCTGCTTTCACAATGGAATTTCCCCTTGGCAGAACTATAAAAAGCTGCAATATTTGACCAAGGATATCAAAACAAATGTGACTACAACAGCTTATATGGGCTTCAGTAACACTTTCCTGATTAAATAAGTAGTAGAAGCCCCCCAAAAATTCAGATTTACTTTTATTATGTTTTTGCATTCAACAGCATACAAATCTCGAGCATTAACATGTGAACCACTGGTGTTGTACAAACCACTTCAAAGCTTGGCCACTGACTACTCTAGCTTGTACCAGCACCATGAAAAATTTCAAACTTTTTTATACAAATACGTACTCAAAGTCTTCATTTACTTTTACGAGTTTAAACACACGACAGTGACTTCAGAAACCAACTGCAAGGACTTGGAAGGCAACATGGGCAAGTGACCATGTGTTCAACAATTCCTAGTCCTTCAGAACTAGGATAAGAACAAAATCAGAACGAGAGATTTCAGCAGGTCCAACAATGGCAACAACTCAGAAATGACAAGTCAAAGAGAAAAACCACGAAAACAAGTGAAATGGTGACACAATTCCTATTAAAAAAATACTACAGGCACAAGTGTCAACTAACTGAGACTACAAGAACTGGCAAGAGTCACAGACTGGTTGGGGTTGGAAGGGACCTCTGGAGATCATCTAGTCCAATCCCCTGCCAAAGCAGGATCACCCAGAGCAGGTTGCACAGGATGGCGTCCAGGCGGGTTTGGAATCTCTCCAGAGAAGGAGACTCCACAACCTCTCTGGGCAGCCTGTCCCAGGGCTCGGTCACCCGCAGAGGGAAGAAGTTTTTCCTCACGTTCAGGTGGAACTTCCTGTGTTCCAGTTTGTGCCCGGTGCCCCTTGTCCTGTCGCTGGGCACCACTGAGAAGAGTCTGGCCCCTTCCTCTTGACACCCACCCTTTAGATATTGAGAAGTGTTGATCAGATCCCCTCTCAGGCTTCTCTTCCCCAGGCTAACCAGCCCCAGCTCTCTCAGCCTTTCCTCACACCAGAGATGCTCCAGGCCCCTCATCCTCCTCGCAGCCCTCCGCTGGACTCTCCCCAGTAGTTCCCTGTCTGTCTGGAACTGGGAAGCCCAGACCTGGACACAGAACTCCAGCTGTGGCCTCACCAGGGCAGAGCAGAGCAGAGGGGGAGGAGAACCTCCCTTGACCTGCTGGCCACGCTCTTCTCCCTGCACCCCAGGGCACCATTGGCCTTCTTGGCCACGAGGGCACGCTGCTGGTCATGGAGAGCTGCTTGTCCACCAGGACTCCCAGGTCCTTCTCCGCAGCGCTGCTTACTACCAACTTGGGCTCAATGAAGAGTTCATGATCTCAGTCAAGAAAGAAGCACAGAGTGCTTGCATCGCATACATGAACAGCAAACTCCAGAATAGGAACAAAAACATGAAAGGCTGAAAAGCAAAGCAAACAGCATCACGACTCACAAGTTACAGAATGAACTAATGTATTTACGTAAGCAGAGATTAAGGAAAGCATTGATTTGATAGTAATGGAGAGAGAAAGCTATCAAAGCATTTGAAAGGAAGAGTATTTAATCCCTTTCTCTCCCTAGTCTTCCCTATAAAAGTCAAGTGCGAACAGCTGGCTGCCATTATTAATACCAGCCACAGAGTCACAGTCCAATTTTATTAACAGCTTGGTTAAGTGAATTTTCAAGATTAGCAGGACGTGATTAACTTCATCTTAAGATATTTTAGCCTTTAAGTCATTTCAGAGCCATTGGAGTTTATCTTCCAAAATACACTAAGCCACGGCAAGATACCAGAAGTCTAAAAAACGGTAAATGCAATCCAAGCTTAAAAAAAAAACCAATGCGAAAAGACTCAGAAGACTTCAATTTGGAGTAGGGAATGGGGAAAAAAGTGGTGGAAGAGAGAACTGGAAATATGAACCAAACAACTAGAAAGCAAGCATAAAAAAAGATCAGATTTTTTCAAGAATAAACCAATGTGAATGTCACATTTCCATTGGAATTAAAATAAATCTCTTGGCACTTTATGGTGTAATATGCTTGCAAGCATGCTGGGGAAATGGGATATTGATGAAGTATGAATGGATACACAGCAATAAGTACTCTTTGGGTGTAGTTAAACAACGGTTCACTGCTGTAAATGGAAGTGCTAGTGAAGCAGAGCTCCACCTGGGTCTAGGCTTTACTCCAGTTCTAGTCAATATTTTAATTAGGTGACCTGGATAGAGAATAGGCTCAGACACAGAAAGCACAAAGCTGAGATTGAGTTCTCAACCCACCTTTCTCCATCTTCTAGAGTTATAAATTACAAGACCTGTGAAGCATTTCTCCCATCCTACTCACCACTTTAAAGGCAACAGTTGTACAGCATATCCAGCTTTGGACACTGTACTTCAAGAAAGACATGGATTCAGATGGAGAACAGGAGACAACAAGCATGCTCAGAAATTAAGAGACATGGCCCATGAGAAAGCACTTTAGAAAGGAGAAATTGTAAGCTTTTATGCATTGAAAGACAAAGAGGAAGAGAATTAAATGAACAGATTATCATCATAAATGATTATGTGGTTAAAAAGAAGTGAGACAGGTTTGGATTAGATGTCAGAAAAGACTTTAATGGCCAGGACGGCCAATCACTGGAAAAGACTACTTTGACCACAGGCTTTCCCTCAGGGAAAGTTACACAAACATCTACCAGGGATGGCATAAGAGCAGCTGACTCTGCCCCAGGACTCGGCAACAGTTTAAATGGCCTCCCCAGGTCCCTTCCACACCAGTTTTTTGTACATTTTCTGAATTCCATACCAAATGAATTCACAGCGGGTATTAGTAGTATCTCAAATACAAGTTTGTAAACTCTCATGCATTTGCCAAGATAAAGGATGATTTTTAAAATACATTAAGAGAAAGAAAGGATGATTAGAGGACTTTTTAATTTTATTATAAAGTTATGTATTTGCAAGACTTAAGGTTTTCCAGCTTCTTGTGTTTTCTATGATGAGTATAGGGGTAGAATACTAATTAAAGCAATAATACAGCAAAATTAAAGACATTGCAATGAGAATGACACGAATGGATCTTCAAGTATGACAGAATAACAATAAAAATAACAGAAAACATTTACAATTTTCAAAACAATGTGTACAGACTCACAGCATTGACTATTTGAAAAGTAAAATGTTATTAGCTGGCAAGCCCTTCTCTAAGCACCACAGAAGAAAATATCAACCACAGAGCTGTAAGGTAAGTGAAAACAATGATTTGAAGAACACATCTGCTAGTTCACGGATGTTCACCGTAGAGAACAGCATCACAAGTAGCTGCACACTCAATGCCATACTGACGCTAAGCAGATAGTAGATATAAATAAATAAATAAATCTCAATATACCAACCTGTGCTATATTTTTGTTGAGAAGATATACTCCATATTCAAACTGAAGCTTCTCCCCTCCTTTTGGATACAAAGGAAATCTGATGGGAAAGAAAAAAGGAGAAAAAAAGAACATTTAAGGTGAAATTATTCAGATATTTAAGTTAACTTGAAAAAGCCACAGACTCCTTTTCTGAGAAGGTAAGGATTTAAAAAGCCTCCCTTGGTGACTTCTCCCAGGAACCCCCTTCACAAGATGTACTTAGGAACCCTCTGCAACTCCCGTTAATCAGCCTGTAAAAAACTGATGTCAAAATTCAGCTAATGAATTACATTTTCTAAAGTGTTTTAGGTTTTTAAAAGATGTTTTACGACTCTCCCCAGTGCTGCAACATTCCTCTTACTAAGCAAAGCATGTTTTAAGAAGCGTGTAGCATCACAACGCATCTCATGTTATCCCTTTGTATTCAGTTATTCGCTTTTGGTTAGCTCATTTCCAAATGGAAATAATCTTTTAAGAAAGGTGTTCTCTCTTGTTATTTTGGGATGGAAAGAGCACGAATGTCTTCAGACACAGAAGACACCATCACAGCAGAATAACACTCAGAGAATATAAGTGATTCCTTTCAACAAGCTTCACCCCCCCGCCCCCAAAGGCTCAAGTCAGAGCACCAGGATCACTACAGCCCTTGCAAATACAATATTAGTAATGTTTATTTGTCTTTTTTAATAAATAAAGTATTTTTCACAATTTTAAATACCTAGATGTAGCAAATAGTTTATGAAAAAATAGCACAGCTTATTTCTGTCTTAACTGCTGTGTGAGATCAGCGAACCAAAACTTTAGTCCCTAAAGTATTGAAACTGTTGGACAGTCTGCATTAAAGAATATAATTTTATGTGTATGTTCTAGGAATCTTTGCTTAAGTGAAGTGGTTCTCAAACAGTTTGAGTATTTCTACACTGCATTTCTTAGGATTATCTTTTGACTCTTCCTTACCACCAGAGGTTATGAGGTTACCCTGGTCAATAGGGTAATCTTAGTACAATCTAAAATTTATGTTTATGGGAACTACACATGAAACGAGCTTTTGCCTTTTCAAGAACCGTATGTTCTGTAGCTCCTAATCAAGATGCTGAGCGTATTATCTGCACAAAACCCACATTACATCAGAAACCAAAGTCTCTCTCAAATATAAGATAACAAATACAGGAGATCAATATCTACTAGAAACAACACACACTCTAGAGGGGTGATTACGCAAAGTGTATTTTATCATCAATCAGCCACGCAGTAGAGTGCATTTGCAACTTTTAAGGAGAATTATATAGTGTCATTAAAGCTAAAGGTTAACAGGTCACGATCACAGCAGATCAAATATTAAGACACCAGCTTCAAGTTTTATGCTACTTTCAAACTCACTAGGTCACTTCAAGTTGAGGAATATAAAAATCACCATGAATAGTATATATCTAGCTCACCTTGCTTAATAGATCTATAAATCCAACTAGTTCCCTGTGCAAGAAAATACAACCTTTCAAAATGAACACATGCTACAAAAATTCTACAACGCATTACCCTAAGCGTAAAATACAAATCAAAAGGAATTCATTTCAATATCTATAATTACACTATCCAAATAGAGTAGGATTTAGATTTAAATGCTACCTTTACAATTAACAGTATAAAACTAACTCAAGCTTGACAATAAAAGCACCATTAGAAACACAAGCCATGTTTCACAACAAGATAGTATTTCGTTAAGTCACTATTAATGGGAACTATGTATTCTATTCTTAGAGACAGAGCTCTTTGATACATGCAGCATAGAAAAGAGAATAAAAAGTGTTTTACAGTGCTCGCTACCATCTCCCACACATGGTTTCTTTTAAGTGGTAAAGATTAGACTTTTCTGTTTATCATGTTGGTCCTGCTTCCTTGCTAATATTCACATTTCTGTCCTCTAACTTCCACTAATTAATCTTGAAAGACTCGAAACTACATACATCCTCGTGTCAGCTTTCATAACATGATTTACATGATAGTCTTGAAAAATGTCAGTGTATGTCTTCATATATGTACACTTATGACTCAGAAAAATATTACCAACTTTGATGTCTCTTTCTTTGTGTGTTATCTCGCTTGCCCATTAAACCTGCTCACAAGCAATAAACTCAAGGGAGAGGAACCACGACATTTTATATAGTGTTTCATTGAGTATAATTGAATGCAACTTTAACTGCTGGTTCCCCATGTGAAATTCTTCTTGCCTGCTTCTTAGAAAAGCATGACTGTAAGCTCCCTCTCTCACTTTCACCTGCTGCAAAAAGTCTGCTGTGTAAGGTTTTAGTTATACGTCCTCAAAAAATACATTTGAAAACTACTATTTTATTATTTTTATAATCACAAAGCACTCAAAACACAAGATGGCATCCACCTGCCCTTTCTACTCCAACACGTAGCCTTCCTTGTTTCCATTTCCTGCTGATATGTTTGGGAAAAAATCATTAAGTTCCTTTAAAGCAGAACACAGATACTTACTCTAAGACAACAAATTCAAAGGAATAAGTGTGGTAAGTTTAGTCGAAAAAAGGAAAAAATCCCAAGTTACAGGTGTCTGCTGTGTAATCACCAGACAAGATCACCTGAGAGAAGTTACCAAGATTCAAAGGAATAAGTGTGGTAAGTTTAGTCGAAAAAAGGAAAAAATCCCAAGTTACAGGTGTCTGCTGTACCAGCAGACAAGATCACCTGAGAGAGGTTACCAAGTAGTAGGAAACTTGTTCTGAGCACACTCAGAAATTGAGCTCTGGTCCTCCTCAGAGCAGTACACCCACATGCTGTAAGGAATCCATACACCTGCCATGCTAGCAGGCAGTAATTATGAACAAATCAGCTTCTGCTCTGTGAGGTTCAAAGCATGCCCTTGTAAAAATATGTTGGTATTTATCTCAGCTGGCATACAGCAGTAATTTTAACAGCGACTCATAAAGATGATCTTAGTTCAGAGAACATTGACTTGATGCAGGAAAATACCAGAACATGTAGTAACTTATAACAGGTTAACACCATTTGGAGTTGTTCCTGCACCTCATGTTTCCACTATACTCAAGGCTATTCTTGGTCCACTGAAGACTTCTGACATGTCAGCAATGGTAAGAGCCTGTGATGAAGAAAAAGCACAAGGACTTCACACTTACAGCCCAGGACATGGTTGGCTTTCTGGGCTCCATCACCAGCAGCGTGACCAGCAGGTCGAGGGAGGGGATTCTGCACCTCCACTCTACTCTGGTGAGACCCCCTGCAGTGCTGCGTCCAGCTCGGGGGTCCCCAGCACAAGAAGGACATGGAGCTGTTGGAGAGAGTACAGAGGAGGCCACGGAGATGATGGGAGGGCTGGAGCACCTCTGCTCTGGAGACAGGCTGAGAGAGCTGGGCTGGTTCAGCCTGGAGAAGAGAAGGCTGCGGGGAGAGTTTAGAGCCCCTTCCAGTCCCTCCAGGGGCTCCAGGAAAGCTGGAGAGGGGCTGGTGACAAGGGCAGGGAGTGACAGGCCCAGGGGAAAGGCCTGAAGCTGCAG